TTTTGCATAATTCCTTTTTATCTCTGTTGTTCAGCTTGATTCCTTTCCATTACTCTGTCCTCTAGGTCACCAATTTATTCCTCTGCTTCTTCCATCCTGCTGTTCACTCCATCAAACGTGTTTCTCATTTCGTTTACTGAGCCCTTTATCTCTGCTATGTTACTCCTTCTCTCTCTGTTAGTCCTTATCATGTGTCTAACTCATGTCTTCCCCTCTTTTTCTAAGTTCAGGGAGTATCCTTACTGATCATTGCTTTAAATTCTCTATCAGGCCTGTTACTTACATCTGTTTGGCTTAGATCTCTGGCCGTGGCCTCGTCCCCTTCTCTCGTATGGGATAAAGTTCTCTGTCTCGTCGTTTTGTCTGCCTCTCTGCATCTGTTCCTGTGTGTTACAAAAGTCAACTACCTCTTCTGCTCTTGGAAGTAGCGACTTTAGGAAGAAGGAGTCCCAGAGTGCCCTGCAGTGCAGTGTCCCCTGCTCACCAGAACCTGGCACTTCAGGAGAATATCCTATGTGTGTTGCTTATGCCCTGCTGTTGTGTCTGAGTCACTTTTCCTTCAGTGCAGTCATCTGCACTGACTCTCTGCATGTTGCAGGCTGTGCTGCTTCTCTGTGGTGTTACTGGGACCCAGGCAGGCCAGCTCTGGGGACAGGGGGATGTGCCTACCAGGGAACTTGGGAGCAAAATTTGCATTGGGCCACCAGTCTTATGCCAGATTCCCCCAAGCACGGTGGCGGCTGGGTCTGTGCATGAGGTTGCCCAGCGGCATGAGCCTGGGTGTGGCTAGTGGCAAAGGCTGGGTTCAGCTGGGTCCCGCCCAAAATGGTGGCTACGGGTGCATGGCTGGGCGAGGCATGACAGCTGGGCATGGATCTGCAGCTGGGCAGGGAAGCAGCTGTGCACCCAGCGGCTGGGTGGGGTATGCACCACTTTAACAAAATTTGTCCTGAACCTACAGCTGAGCCCAGCAGGCCTGGAATGGGCAAGTCCTCAGGAGAACTGGTGGGCATGGCACACTGCTAGCAGGTTAGGTAGCAAGTGTCTAGGCAGTGCTCAGATGGCGCCGTGTTCATGCTGGGGGGCAGGGGAGGAATATGGCCCCCGCAGCTCCTCCCCCTTCAGGGAGGTCCACCGCCACGCACCAAAATCAGTATGAACAGTCCCGTCTCCCGTTTGCCCCTGGCATGGTGCAAAATGCCGTTTTTATGTCGCCCCTCCACACAGGCTGCTCTCTCTTTAAGGGTGGCGACCCAGCTGTCACTCGCCCTCCTGGCTTGCCCAGTGTGCAGTCAGCTGACTTTCAAAGCTCCAGGCTCCAAGTCCCACTGGTTATACAAACTCACGTTTTTCAGCCCTTCTGGGTTCCACAGCCAAACAGTATGGGTATTAGCCTCCCCCTGTGAGCTCCCTGGTGCGAGGGCCCATTTCTCTGCCCTCTCCCCATGCACAGCTCCCTCCTTCCTGCGGGCAGACTCCCTCCACGTTTCTGAACTTCCTAACATTTCAGATGCAGCTTCCTCCCTATATTTAGTTGTGGGGTTTGTTCTTCCAGTCCTTGGGGTGCTCTCCGGTTTATTTAATTTTTCTGGATGATATCTAGTTTTAAATGTGGGACGGGGTGAGCTCAGGCTCCTCCTACTCTGCCATCATCCCAAGCTCCTCTGGATTCGCGTTCTTAAAATGACTTTTTAAATAATATGATATGTAAGAGACCAATGTGCATGAATAAATTTGAAAAACCACTGCAAGATATGTGGACAAAAAGGGCCTTTTGAACCAGCAGCAATCAGCACGATAGAAATTAAATGACTCAGGGAAATAGGATTTTATTTTTCTAAATGGTCCACAGTCTTTTCTCTGAAAAGGCATATGGCTCTGAAAAGCGCTTTTGGCTTCAACAATTCAGTTCCCCATGTAAATGGCCATTTCTAAGGACCACCCACAGGGATTTACTGCCACTTCATTTTACGGTAGGTTTCCTTGAGTATTTATGCAGCAACTCCCCCATCCCTCTCCATATCCCTTTGGCTTTATCTCTCATCTAATGGGCTCAAGAAAAGTTGGATTGCTATAGTTTACCTAGCTTTTGTCTCACTGTTTGGCTCAGATTGACATCATTCACAAGCTTCTACATTCAAATCAAAGGTCATTTAGAATTTATTTTAAGGGTTCACATGGAACACATAGCAAACATACCAAAATAGTTTGTTTTCGTGCAACCTGTAACAAATTTTAAAGGATTGAAGCCCCCCCACCCCACCCCTACTGTGTATTCTCCCTTCACAGATATATAGGAAGCTAGAAATCAATTAAATGGAAAGCACTTGGATAATCACCAACCACTCTGAAATTCAGCATGTACCTATAGGAAAAGGAAACAATGAAAGGAAAAAAGCCCATACGCCAAGAAGAAAAACACAATGAGTGTTAAAGTGCATTACCATTACCCTAAGTCCTCCTCCCCATCAAATCACTTGAGGTAGAGGAAGAAGTCGCCTTAATTCTCTTAATTGCCAAAGAGCCTCCTCTTATTTTGATGCAAAATGGTAGGGACAGGTCCCACTGTGACATCTGCATGTTGACACTTCAACCACCCTGGTAAAAGGAAGCGATTCAACAGAAACCCACAGGCAGACATGTTGACGATCACATCACCTTGCCCCTCAATCTCCAGGCACAGGAAGGCTATTATTGGTTCAGCCCTGGTCACCCCACCACGCTTTGGGCCAGTGGCCATGGATCCTGTGCTGCCAGTTGCTTATTGGCTGCTGCCAGCAGAGGCTGGGAGCACAGCTGCTCTCATTGGATGACCCCGTCATCCAGGCATAATTGCATGGCAGGAAGCCTTTTGTGTCAAAAGGGAAAGATGGTAAGCTACCAAGGCACAGAATCAGATAAATTTGAATGAAGTAAAGTATGCCTTTCTCTTTTTATTTTATTTCATTTCATTTCATTCCATTTCATTTATTTATTTATTTATTTATTTATTTATTTATTTATTTATTTTTATTTTATTATGTTACGTTAATCACCTAAAGTAGGCCATTCACAAGGTCGGGAGCTTGAGTAGGGCATGGTTCTAGATAGGTTGTGGTTTCTGCACGGTGTTTGGGTCCCCTTTTATGTATTTAACTGAATTAGGATGAGGAGATACTTTGAGGGAAGGTGAATGGGGTAAGTGTGAGTTTTGTATCTTCTACAGTGCTTCACTTGTTGCTTTATAAGCACACTCGGAAATTCTCTGTAAGATACTACTCGACACAAGTGGGAGAAGGAGAATACAAAAGGCAAGTAAAATTATTGTGGACCCACCTGTGACCATAAAGGGTTCCGAAGGCGCTTACCTGAAGGAATGGGCCACTTAGGAAAGTGTTGAAATGCGACATGGTCAAGGCAAATCATAACAGACTGCCCAAACACATATATTAAAGGGACTTGCTCACGGTAAAGGTGTTTTAAGGATGGGCACAATGGCACAGGTCCAAACGGTAGAGTAGGTGACACTCTGGAGATTCACAGGTCTCTTGTGCCAAGTGAGGTGGCTCTGAAAAGAGCCTTTCTTTTGCGAGGTGGTCAGGCGGTCCAGAGGCAGCTCATTCGAGTCTTTTGAACATGATGACTGCTTTGGTGGCCTCGGACACAGCGTGCTTGCCAATCTCCAGCAGCACGTGCGCGGCTGTCTGGATATCCCTGGTGGTGATGGTGGAGCGCTTGTTGGAGCGGGCCAGGAGAGAGGCCTCCTCGGCGATGTGCTCGAACATGTCCTTGGCGAAGGAATCCATGACGCTCACGGCCTCCTGCGAGAGGCTCAGGGCCTCGTGGACATGCCTCAGAACACTGGGGAAATAGGTGGCGAAACTGTCGGGATAGCGGCGGCGTCGGCGGCAGCCATGGCGGCGGACTGCGCCTCGGCTGCTTCTGCTTCGGGCTCTTTGTGTCTCCTGCCGGGGGCTCCTCGGTGCCGAGGCTTTCCTCAGAAGAGGTCTCACAGCCAGGTTCAGCCATGTGGGGCTCGCCTTCCCGACAGCTCAGAAGGAAGCGCACTGACGGCGGCTTGAGGGGTGCCACCCAGTTATACTCGCTGCATTTCCTGACGTCACTGCCAAGTCCTATCTGATTGGACAAAATGCAAAGACAAGAAGCGAGTCCCTGAGCCAAGTCTTGTCAGAGCTGCCTCTGGACCGCCTGATCACCTCTCAAACCAAAGGCTCTATTCAGAGCCACCTAACTTGGCAAAAGAGACCTGTAACTCTCCAGACACCCACCTACTCTAGCGTTTGGACCTGTGCCATTCTCCCCGTTCTTAAAACACCTTTACTGCGAGCAAGTCCACTTTAATATATGTGTGTGGTGCCGGCTGTTATGATTTTCCTTGACCATGTCGCATTTCCTCCCATTTCTAAGTGGCCCATTCCTTCAGGTCAGTGTCTTTGGGACTCTTTACGGTCACAGCTGGGTCCACAATAATTTTACTTGCCTTTTGTATTCTCCTTCTCCACTTGTGTCGAGTAGTATCCTATAGAGAATTTCTGAGTGTGTTGATAACAGCAACAAGTGAAGCACTGTAGCAGATACAAAACTCACCCTTACCCCATTCACATTCCCTCAACGTATCCCCTCATCCTAATTCAGTTAAATACATAAAAGAGGACCCAAACACCGTGCAGAAAACTCAACCTATCTAGAACCTTGCCCTACTCAAGCTCCCGACCTTGTGAAAGGCCTACTTTAGGTGATTAACATAACATAAGAAAATAAATAAATAAATAAATAAATAAAATAAATAATTAAATAAAATAAAAAAAGAAAGGTCTACTTCACTTCCTTCAAATTGATCTGATTCTGTGCCTTTGTAGCCTACCATGTTTCCCTTTTGACACAAAAGGCTTCCTGCCCTGCAATTATGCCTGGAGGACGGGGTCATCCAATGAGAGCAGCTATGCTCCCAGCCTCCGCTGGCAGCATCCAATAAACAACTGACAGCGCAGGATCCATGGCCACTGGCCCAAATGGTGGTGGGGTGACCAGGGCTGAACCAATAATAGCCTCCCTGTGCCTGGAGATTGAGGGGCAAGGTGGTGTGATCGTCGACATGTCTGCCTGTGGGTTTCTGTTGACCCGCTTCCTTTTATCCAGGGTGGTTGAAGTGTCAACATGCAGATGTCACAGTGGGACCTGTCCCTATCATTTTGCATCAAAATAAGAGGAGGCTGCTTGGCAATTAAGGGAACTAAGGTGACTCCTTCCTCTACCTCAAGTGATTTGATGGGGAGGAGGACTTAGGGTAATGGTAATGCACTTTAACACTCATTGTGTTTTTCTTCTTGGCGCATGGGCTTTTTTCCTTTCTTTGTTTGCTTTTCCTATAGGTACATGCTGAAATTCAAAGTGGTTGGTGATTATCCAAGTGCTTTCCATTTAAGTGATTTCTAGCTTCCTATATATCTGTGAAGGGAGAACACACTGTAGGGGTGGGGTGGGGGGGCTTCAATCCTTTGAACTTTGTTACAGGTCGCACGAAAACCCACTATTTCGTTACGTTTGCCATGTGTTCCATGTGAACGCTTAAAAAAAATTCTAAATAACCTTTGATTTGAATGTAGAAGCCTGTGAATGGTGTCATTCTGAGCCAAACAGTGAGACAAAAGCTAGGTAAACTATAGCAATCCAACCTTTTCTTGAGCCCATTAGATGAGAGATAAAGCCAAAGGGATATGGAGAGGGACGGGGGACTTGCTGCATAAATACCCAAGGAAAGCTACCATAAAATGAAGTGCCAGTAAATCCCCATGGGTGGTCCTTAGAAATGGCCATTTACATGGGGAACTGAATTTTTGAAGCCAAAAGCGCTTTTCAGAGCCATATGCCTTTTCAGAGAAAGGACTGTGGACCATTTAGAAAAATAAAATCCTGTTTCACGAAGTCACTTAA